TACAACAAATTTAAACTTATAAATAATGTAATTTTACTCATTTATTTCAATAGGTACCTACCAAGTCATTTTGAATAGTTGATTAATTGTTTTATTTTCGTTAAACGTGGGATATAAAGAATGAAGATACAAAATTCTGTTATAGGCAGGTTTAAGTTTTTACACTAAGGGGCTTATTAACTTCTAAGAATAATTCCATTATTTTAATAAAACTAGTAAAATAAAAAATAAGTACAATGTTTTCATACAAAACTCCAACTTCCTATTATCATAAGTTATTTTTTCTCAGTAAAAAAAGTTACGTTTTAAGAGGATTAATTATTGTTACCAAACTAATACATTAAAAGTTTTTATGACTGTATTTATATTGTCTACATTGTTCTTTTATCCAATATCAGGGCCGTACCTAGGGCAGGGCGAGCGGGGCCCTCACCCTGGGCCCCGCGCCTTCACCAGTTGGACAGGCCCCGCTTTTGTAGATACCATAAAAAAGCCAAGTTAATGAGAAAAAAAAAATATTATTTATATATTTTTATATCTTCAATTGCTGTAATTTTTACTACCTATACCTACGGCTATATCTACTTATATTAATTGACATCAGTCGTCAAATAAATGTATTGCATTTAAAACGAGTTAATATGATTAAAATTAAATTTTCAAAGTTGAAAATGATAAAAATCTTCAAAGCGCTCTGCCCCCCCCCCAAAAAACAACAACTTAGCTATAATATTTATAGAAAAAAAATGCTTAGAAAAAATGTATTGATTTTACAATGATGTGTGTTTTTTTTCTGTTTTGTATGGCGCTTTTTGGGTAGTAAAAGTGCTCAGATTTTCTAGATCAGCATCTTTACTGGTAGAAAAGTGAAACTAGTTGGTATTTTTGGGAAGTCAAAATTAAAAATTTCTAGTAGTTTTAGAAAGCGTTGAGAAAAACAAAAAAATAGGTGACTTTTATACAAAACCAATTTTTGAAAAATCGATTTTATTTTTTTTGGTGTATCTCAAAAATTCATAACTGTAGAACCTTGAAATTTTCAACAAATATTTAAATTTTATTTATTTAATAAATTTTCCATAAAACATTTTCTCAATATTTTGACTATTTTTGAGCTAGTTATACTCGTAGGCTTGCACCCTTGAGAAATTTTTCCATTTTTCTAAATTTTTTTAAAATTATCCTCAATAAAATCTTTTTCATTTAGTAAAAAATCATGAAAATGTAATGATAGGTTCCTTATAATTTTCATTAATGGAAGTTTTAAAAATACATAGGCTCAATTATTTGTTATATGATTATAAAGTTCCAATTTTGACAAAATTCATAAAAGTTTTTTTTTCATAGGTACCTAACTTAAGACATTTTAATAGAAGGTTTCCAACAAGTTTTTGTAATTCTATCAAACTAAAAAAGTTCCCCAGAAAGTCAAGTTTACGATCTTTGTTAATTTTTTTTTAGCTACTAAATTTGATTATTTTTACAAGTGTGCTAGTCTGATACAATGTCTCCGCTCAGAATATTTTTTCGTTTACAATAATTTATCAATGTAATTTAAATATAACACATCCATTACAACGACATGCTTGACACCCACTGTACAGCAGAGCGGTACCCACTTGTCCTGCACCTTCTTTCATATCGTATTAGGTGCCTACTATATTTATGGACATATTAATTTATCAATATTATTTTATTAAGTATAAATATATTAAGTGTTTTGTTATTAATTAATTTACTTATTCATATTATTGTAAGTACAAGGTACTATATTTTTAAGTATATTTGCGCGTAGCCCCCTTATACCTAGGTAGGTATATATAATAATTCATAATATTAAATATTTAAATAAATGCAACTGCCAACTGACGATAATGACATTTTAGGCCCCACAAATTTACTCTGCCCCGGGCCCCGCAAATCGTCCGGACGGCCCTGTATCCAATAACAATACAAATTAAATTAAACTGATCAATTTTTACTTAATAATAACTATAATAACTAATACCTAGCTTAGGTACCTGTATTATTAAGATAATACTCATATGCAATAAGCAAGTTATTATACATACCTATATATTTATTAATGATTGATCGTTATTTATTATTATAGAAAATCTAATATCTTTTGAAGTAGGTTAATTATTATTTTTGAATTAGTCTAAAAGGTAGATAGGTACTCACATGCAAGATTAATATAAAATTATTAGTATTATTCATTACTCTTAATCTGCAATACACATTCTTGTAATTTTTTTTTCAAATATTATAATATTCATATTAGAAGTACAATTTTTTACTTCCGGAGTTCAGTGGCGGATACGAGGGGGGGGGTCTTCTTAACGTTATTTTCTATTATAATATTTGGCTAAAGAAAAAGACAATTTATTTTTTTTAAATTCGCCCCCCCCCCTTGGGTGACTTTTGGATACGCTACTGCCTCAGTTATATAATATACTTATAGTCCCAAACTCCCAAAACAGTTTACAGGAAATTAAACACATTCGATTTAAAGTGTAAGATAATGTATATTTTTATTTCGCAAGGTGACTATAATCAAATTACAATTTTATCTTGAATTAATCATTTATTTAGGAAAAGCTTTAAAATTAGTAAGCCTATAAAATAATTTTGGATGAACCATAAAAAAACAAAAATATAACAATAGCAAAAACAGTAAATTATAAGAATAATATACCCTTAAGCAAGATATTGGCGAATTTCGGAACAATATAATTCATTAATTAATTAACTTTAAAGTATAAGTAATTAATTAATAAATGGTATATGTGAATCAGTTATCAGTTATCACACTTAACATAATATGACTTAGTTAATGTCATAATATTATATTCTACATAAGCTATATTAGTGGTATAGCAAAAGTTTGTTATCTAGACCCAGAGAAATATAAAGTTGGATAATAGACAATAGTTGACCTATTTTACCAAACCTGACTTATTAGTTGTTTTATTGTAATGCCTAATATGTTATTATTTATATAATCATACAAATCTTAAAATGTGTATTAAAAATAGTGTTTTATATTATAAATATTATATTATTTTTATTTTTATTTTTATTTTTAAATTTTTTTACTGGTCAAATTCCCAATGAGAAATTAGCTTCTAAAAATAGGTCTACCTGTGTTGCCTTATGGCAACGCACGGCGCTAATGGGTTAACTTAAAATATTTCAATATTTTGAATATATATATATATGTAGCTTTTTCCATATAGGTTAAAATAAAAAATAAAAATAACAAAGTAGTATATAGCTCATTGTTGACGAGTAACAAAAATTGCCTGCTTGGTATTTCTGGCCATCATAAGATATAAAATACTAGATAATAATAAAATATCATTATTGATTGAATGAAATATATACTTCAATAATAAATGTTAATTTTAAAAGTAGATATGAATTTTTTGTATACAATTATACATTATTTATGTTTTAATTATTTATTCTACTAAAATAAGCTCTAACCATTAATATTCAATGCATTGTTGGAAATTTTAAACGAACAATGTAATATTTAGTCTATATTGTCTATCGATTTTCAAAAGTGTGTAAGTAATAGTAAATTTTCATGGAAATTACGAACCTAACTACCGATCCACCTAGTTAACTCCTCTAGTGACCACTCTACGATTGCACGACTTATGAATATTCGTATACGGGGACACGATATTTGCACAGGATATTATTTACTTCAGTATGTTATGGTCGTATAGATGCAATATTTTTAATTAAATTGATTGCATTTTGATTTATTTCAATAAAAAATTTACAATAGTTTAAAATGACTGGTAGGTCGATTAAACCGATTTGACTATTTAAAAATACATTATTATCAATTTAAAAAATACCATGATAAGTGCAATATATTTTAATATTCATAACGCTGAAGATCGATTGATGAAAACCACCTTGTTTCTTCGTTTTTAATTGTTTAGTTATTCCACAATTTTCTCTGTGTTATTTTAAATACATATTTCGTTACCATTGATCAATAATATTTATTATAATATTATTGATCAATAATAATTAATAAGTTATTAATGCACTTATTCATAATTAAGTTACAAAAATTAAATTAAAATGAACTGTATTCACATTGAATTACTAACTTACTGACTGATGGATAAAAGTCGGGCGCACAGCTTCATGTTGGCGAGTATACATAACTCCCCACCCCTATTAGAAATGCTAAGGGTGTGACTGTGGAGGAAAATGGCATACTAATGCACAGCCTAACCAATTTCCAGTAAGTTTGCACCTTCAAGATTATGCCTATGTCTGGTACTACCTTTAACTTATTTTGTTTGTGCCTGTATGAGTGCCATGTACTATAAATATATATATTATTTAAATTTAATAGTCAGAAATAAAAAACATTCTATTAGTTTTCAAGTTTAGGTATAGATATAGAAACTACCAAATTGAAAAACTTCACCTTTACTCTACACGTATTTCTAAAACGGTAACTAAATTGTATAAATAATTTAATAATGAATACATAATTTCTGAAAGCAATAATATAGTTCTACTACAGCGAAAATAGCTTTATACATTGTAACCTTAGCATTAAATAATTACAAATTTGAAGAATTCCTAATGATTACTTATAGTTAAAATTACTAAGTATCTATTAACAGCCACCAAGTTGTAATTTAATTAAAACTAATGACTTTTTAAACATAAATAATGTAATCATAAAATATTTCTTTATAATTAATTATAAACAAAATGTTTCTTATTAGTTATTACCTAGGTGTATAAATAACTTTTGAAGCGAGTAAAAGTCTTATAACATGTCTTTATAGTACTAAACTCTACTATTCACCCTTTCTTAGGAATTTCTTCTCTTGCGTGCTCACACCGTGTGGATACCGAAACATTTTTTTATTTCTTCCCTTCTATGTGGCACAAAAGTCGACGCTTCCCATCTCATCACGGCTCAAATCACCGATCACTTTTTTATGTTTCATTGCACTTTAACTCGAATGGTCACAACCAGCACATGACATGGTAGAAGTCTCAAGCCCATAGAACAAGCAATTGCGGTGTACCGCCAATAGTCTCTCTTTCCAACCACCTGCACCTACGGAGCACAAACTCAGCAACTTGGTCGACTCTCCGACCTTTGATGGGGATGGACATACGGTGCGGCGACAAACGCCTCTCTCTTCGTTTTGTGACATCGTATACTGATCACCTCTCGTCCGACTTCCATACGAATCTACGTCACACAGTTACTCTATACATATAATTGTTCATTTTTTTACTATTTATTTAATTTTTTCAGTAACACGCTTTCGTTGTCTCAGTACATCACATACATCTATACACAAATAACTACCGTAAACGGGTCGTGTTAGTGTTGAGTTTCCTACATCAAAATTCCATACCACATCTCGACCAGACTATATATCCACCTCGACCTCGACCTCGCACGACACCGTTCCAATCAGCGCACACTTACATATAGAATGCTCCACCAACTAAATTGCATTAATTTATTTTAGTTTTTCGACTACCTAACTAATTCACTTGAACATGGTTCAATGTATTCTGTTGTATGTTTTTGCGGTTGCATACTTTTAAGTTTTAATTTCCTCTTATGCACTCTATTCACTAATAATATACCTAAACTACTTGTTATAAATTGTACAGGTACCTCACAAAATGCGGTATGGAATCAAATAAACTGATAAATTATAATTTAGCCGATTTTACGACATTTACATTTATCGATTTTTTATAAAGCGGATCCAAACTAGGTATTCGATGTAAAATAGCTGTAATTTATTTTAACTTATCTGAAATGTATACGCATATTATCGGAGTCTATAGAGTCCTATATATAACAATATAATACACCTACTATTATAAGATGATAAGTTAAGAACAGATGTCGGATAGTCTTAGCTAGAGTATAACGAGGACATAAAATATTTTAAATTTTAAAATGTCAATAGACGAAACAAACTATTTATCCTCGAATTCAAGCTGTCGGTGTATCATTGAATTATAATTTTTTTTAACACATAAAAACATAATATAATGCCCAGTTAATACATGGCTTTAAAGTTTCTACAGTAAATATTCTGTAGTCGGTATAATAATGTATACCCAAGGCTATATTTGTTTAAAACTCGTGGCAATCATAATAATACGAAACTAATAATGCAAACAATGGGCCATATTTCAAATTATTTTGCAAAAAGTAAATTGCTCTACCTACGTTCCAAAGCAATACTCGACAAAACTTTTAAAGATTATATTCAAAATGTGTGTTTGAAATAAATTTCCGACTTTGAATATTTTATGTGAACACGTTTATCTATAATAACCTAAATAATAATATTGCATATGACGTGTACGTAATTTTCCGTACAGCTATTACAAACGCATACGTCGCAGTATAGTTTATGCATAGAGCAATCGGAAATAAGTGAAAACCTGAATCGATTTTTCCTTCGAGCGCACACACATACACATTATAATATTATATAGTCGTGTGTTAAAAAAAAAAATAACTTTTATAAAATCGGTTTTTCCCTTTTCACTGAATTCAAGGTTTTATCTTCTGGTGTTTTTTACTCTGTATCGTCCCATCAAAATATTTTCACTTTTCCCGGGGGTCGATTCGTATGTAAAAAAAAAATGTAGAACTTTTTATTTGTTCAATAATTCCGCACACCCCTGGGATCGTATTGGAATATTCCTGGACACGGGCGAGTCCCGAGTACGGTCTCAAAGGTCTCCACACAAACGAATACCAATGATTAGCATTGGGAAAATGCACAAACCCTTATGACCCGAACGAAAAACAAAAAAAAAAAAATTCGTTATTCACATATGTCAAGAGATCTCCGATGCCACTGAATGTCGAATGACATTCGAGAATTCTTCTTTCCACTGCCGAAATAATCGTACAACTTATATACGAATACGGATCTGCACTTGTTTGTGCGAATTTTAATATTGTTATCATTACGATATCATTTGTGAAAAAAAGAAAATTAGGTAGTTCATTTGACGTATATTTGCAATTACAATCACTTAAATATCTGATTAATGAAAAATAATTTCTCGAACTTAAACACGTAAAATTATAAAGGTTAGAATAATTATTAATACAGCAAAAGTTATTAAATAATAATAACAATTAATAAAAAAGAGATTAGAATTTGTTTAAATAATAAATCCGACCACGCAAGCTATGTAATTATACAATTATTAATTAGCCATGTTCAATAAGGACATAAGGTATAATATAATCGTAGTAGGTATACAACAAATAATATTATTTCATCAGATAAACATTACAATGCAGTAAGCACGCATTTGATAGGCAACTGCTATAGAATTAAAACTATTTCAAACGGTTTTCTTGTTTTTCGATATAATTATAATTAATAAATATAAATACTTAGGTATATAGAGTTCTAAAAGCTAATAATAATTTTATATAAATACATTTTTTTAAACACTTTTTTTTAACTCTTTTTTGTTCGATTATTTGTAACACAAATTACAATTATTATTTATTAAAAATAACTCGAAAATACCTTGAGCCATCATAGTTTAAATTAGAAGCTAATAAAAAAAAAAAAAAAAAAAAATCAGAAGTAAATGGATAAAAATTTAATTTTGCATGGTTTGATAAAAAATATATAAATACCATATTGATTTAATTTTTTTGGATTTAATATTTAATATTTTTACTAAAATTAATATTTTCAACTTATTTTCAATCTTATAATTTTTATACCTAATATTTTTTAACAATTAAATATCAAAATATTTATTACGTTGGAAATATTTTTTTGTTTTAATATACCTACACAGTACACATAAATAAAAACATTTATTAAATATTGTTATATTACATAAAATACCTGCTAAAAACACAAAATATTGTATCCACAAAAATATTTTTTATTTTGTTGCATTGTATCTCATATTCCGTATCAAACTAAAAACTAGTTTTAATATAATATACTGGGTATTATAAACGAATATTCGTATGAAATATCAATAGGTATTTAAAGTTAATTTTAAACTTATCTGAAACAAAAAGTTTTAATCAAAACAGACATTTTATCTTGTGTAAATATAAATATATTATGATACAATAATTTTATATAATTTTATTATTTTAATAAGCAAAATTTTTAGTTTTACATTGGATATAGTGTATATGTACCTATATAGGTGTTGAGATCATTTAAAAAGAACACGTTTATATGTTAAATAATAGTATACCTACCATGGTACAAATATACAAGATTATTGCATATATACCCCTTCTCAATCAAATCTTTAATGATAAAAATGGGAGCCTACTATTTTTCATGTTAAGAACAATTATTGATATTTGTAATATGCCTTTACGCAGCCATTTTGTATCTGATGATAACAATCCGAGTCTATATGTTATAACCTGTATATTTCAACCATGATACCTATTATAGGTATACCTATATCATATTTTAATATTAAAATATTATAGGCTCCTCGCTCCTATAAAAGACACTTTTATCATTTGTAATTATAACCATAAAAAACATTGGTATAGGCATTAACTACTAACCAGACATATAAAATACATAATATCGAAAATTATATTGATTTTATATATTAAAACGTAGATATTCATCGAATATTATTGAACCTATACCTACTATATATAGGCACCTACACTAAATGTTTACCATTACAGCTGTCTGCGGAGCTTACACTTGTTCATAAATATGTTTTTGTCTGATAAATAAATAAAATTCTTAAATATTGTAGGCACCTCTTTAAGAATTTAACGTACAATTATTGTTTTATTGTTGTTGAATAAAAAGCAAGGAATTATTAAAGTTCTAATAACTTATTGTTGCGAATAGCCATTGAGAATAATATTTAGAGAAATACGTTCGGCTGCCATAACGGAATCATTTATGCTTGATTGTATGCACAACAAAATATAAGCCTATTGTGCGTATAAGAAAAATAAAAAATAAATGAAAAAGTACTGACCTGATTTGCGCAGAGACTTGACTGTTGGCCACACGTGTCACATTGTAGCTTAGCTATAGAATTGGAATTCATTTTTTAACCGTATAGCATTAAAAATGTACTTATAGACGTGAATATTAATAACAAGTAATTATGCAATTGAATACTATGTTTTTTTTTTTCATTAAAATTTGATAGAAATGTTACATTAGACTAGATAGATCCTAGGTGGTCCCAGGATTTTACTCCAGGTGCAGCACATTTAATTACACATCAAATACAAAATACAGATATATTCCTACAATATCTATACAACATACACACACACACACACACACACACACACACACACACGCGAGCGCGCGCACGTATAATAATATTATTATATTATATTCTATACATTTCATATACAATTTTCCTACTTGGAATTTTACTTTTGTTTTATTTTTGTAAACAATTAACTTATTAAATTGTTATAATTATTAGTTAGGTATAGCAGTTAAAATAGATCCATAGTTGTTTTTTTACAGAGGTTACAGCTTCGGCCCTACAATTGCGCATCTAGTAGTAGATAATGATTTCAATTTTGCAAATTCATGGCCGAATGATGTAATTATATTTTATTAAATAGCATATAATATATATTGTCTTGTAGGACTTCTTTCGATAAAATATAAATAAATTGTATAGTATCAAAAAATTAAATATACATATATTAATTTTCAAAGTAGATAACGAATTTACCTTTTCACATATTATATTATATTCTACTAGGGCTAAATTAAAACAGCGAGCATGGCCGTGGCCATATAGGATATTTTTATTTTCCAATTTACACTTAGCTTGTACTCCTCCAATGCTACCGGGCACGGTACTTGCACCATCAAAACAAACTGAGATAACAATTAATATACTTCATAATAACTCGGTTTCCAAATACATCATATAAGATTTTTAAATTATTTTATTCCATTTTCCGTGTGTTTTCTTTAAATATAAATCATTAAAACCACGTAATGTATTGTGAATTGTAATGGTGGTGTTTCTAATAATTCGTAGGTACATACAAAATGTATTACAATATCTCGTCGTTGTTTAGAGATTAAGACGTCCTAGGTATACCTTCTATTTTAAACAACATTATGCATGCTGACATTTTGATAAGAAGCTAAGACTGCATATAGTATCCTGTTAACAAAATAGGTATTAACCGTTCAAATTACGCTTAAGAAAAAATGATGACGTGGAATTTTCCCGTGTTTTCTGTAATTTAGTATTGATAACATGAGAACAGTATTACAACAATCATTGCCAATGAACTAACTAGAGCAAATAGCTTGAAAAAAAGTTTGATATTACTCGAAACAAAATATTTTTGTTTATTTATTTATTGATAATATTTTACGCCCTGTGCGGGCTCAGTACAGCACAATATACACAACAATATTAATAATTATTAGCTATAATATTACTACAGGATTTAGGTATAATATAAAATGTATTATTCATGGTATTCATGATTTAGAACAAGAATTTTATTTGATAAAATATTATAATAATGATAAAGATGATAACATAGTGATAACCTACTACAACATTACAAATTATTGTTATGACGTGGTGTAAAATGAAACCAAACTCTTGTATTATTATCATAACAAATACTGCCTTAATAATAATTAATACTGTATAACATGGCGATACTGAGTTTTGAGCGATAAACTCAGCCAAGTCGTTCTAAGATCGTCGAGTACATCTTGTCGATGTTGGACAAATATTGTTGGACGTCGTAGCTGTTCATCGCGACCTGTTTTCCGTTGTTGGCGTACTTGTCGTACGTACCGTAGTTGACCGGCCCGTTGTTGACGGTACCCACGCTTATGATACCGTTGTCCGCATTGCTCCCGGAGATCATGCCCTTGTTGATGGTACCGTTGTTGACGTTGTACTGCACCATGTTGCCGTTGTTGAGCGTACCGTCCTCCACGTAACCTTTCAGCACGGTTCCGCTGTTCGACGAACCCGCGCTCAGGATGTCGTGGTCGCAATCGGATTTGCCGGTCTGCCCGTTTTCGACTCCGTTTCCGACTCCGTTTTTCAGGGTCACGTTGTTGTTTTCCACGTGGTCGGGGTCCTGTGTATTGGCATTCGTGTCGGCGGACTGGTGGCCCGAGACATTTTTCTCGTCGTCGCCGCCGTTGGTCAGGACGCGGGTTACGCTGGGCCACGACCGTCGAGCTTTTTGTCCGCGGGAACCGTTGTCATCGGTACCGACGACGTCGTGTGGTGACGGTCCGTCGGTGATCCTGAGTGGTTGACCAGCAGGCGCACGTCTGTCGTTTGCTGGGCGCGCGTACTTGCGCGGTTGAGCGTCGGTGGTCGTACCGGGTTCATAGTGCTGGTCGAAGGTTCCGCTGCTACGTGCTTTGTTTTGTCTGGCTCGTTTTTGGCTAATGTCATTTTTGGGAGCTATGATAACGGATTCGTTAGCGGTCAGACCATTAATATCGGTATCAGTAGAGGTGGTACGTTCTGTGGGTAGGCGGTCATCTACAGACCGTTTTTTGATATATCCGTCACCGCCAGTGGCTTCAGTTTGTGGGGCGATAACGATAACCAGACTCGGGTCTGAGCCGTTGTCAGCCCGAGTTCCGGGTTCAGGTGATTCTTCGACAGTGATAATGTCTGAAGGTTCTTTGGTGATGGTGGCACTGTTGACGGTGCCGTTGTTGATGTTGTAGTTCTCGGTCGTATTGTAGTTTACGGTACTGTTATTGTTAACGGCCGCGGGAATAGTATTACCAGCACTATTGTTCGGGTGGCTTTGCGCTGTCTCCGGCGCGAGTTCGACCCGACACAGTTCCTTGTTGTCCTCCACTATTGTGGTCACCGACTCGTACACTTTGGACTGATCGTCGGACTTTTGGACCGCCTCGTACTGGTAAACGTCCTCGTGGATCTCGGTCGTGTATTGGGTGAGCACCTGGGTGATCTTGGTGATGGCCGTGCGCACGGACACTTGGCCGTCGCCAAGCTGTTCTTTGACCTGTTTGAGCACCAAAAGCTGGTCGACGGCCACGCACTTGAGCCCGTCGTGGCACGCTTGCTTGAGCTGCGCCAGTTCTTGGTCCGTCAGGTCGTCCGGCGATTTTCCGGCGACCTCGTCGTCCAATCTCTGTGACGTGTTTATCGTCAACGACCGTTTCTTGATCTCCTCCCAAATCGTCGAGCTCTGGATCGCCATCACGTATTTCAGGTTGGACGATCGGTCGCCGACGGCCAACACCTGCGCCGTTTCATCTGATCGCATTACGGTTTTGTCCTCTTTTGCGTACGTCATCTGTCTCGATGTCGGGCCGGACGGACCTCCGAGCACCGAGGACAAGGTCAACGCCGATGCCAACACGAACGTGAAAAACATTTTCACCGTTGGCGTGATCGCGATTAGGGAAAATATATAATATGTTATTATGGTGTGGGTTTCCTGCTAACAGGAAGGTAAGAAATGTATTAACATTATTTTCAAGTATTAAGTACAGCATTTTTAAAAGTGTAGTGTGGTTGAAGCATTAACTGTGGATACATGTGTTGTGCGTTTGCACAATTGTTCTAGAGGCATACCAAACAAATAGTTTTTCGTTATTCGCTTGAAACGATCAAAGGAATCGCGTAAAAGGCACTATAGGTAATGAACGTTAATATGGTGCAACATTATCATATAAGTATAATATATTATAATACAATAATCCCTTGACTGTTTAAAAGTTGACACCGGATATTACTTTATTTATAATTATTAGAGAATTGAAGGCCTAGAACTAAATTTATATTTTTATTACATGATTTTTTTTTTTTTTAAATCAATGGATTTAAACGATTGTTTCGGCTATGTTATACCAAACTAGGTCAAACAATATTTTTTTTTATTTCTATATAGTTTTTTTTATAAATTACTTAAAATCTTCAAGTATTTTTCAAATGTATTATGTACTTACATTGTCTTAGGGTATACGTTTAAATACAAATTCGTTTTCCAATCCAGGAACTATCAAACGATTTGAAACGAAAATTTAAAATGTTACATGACCAAAATTGTTTACCAAGATTTGATGGCGTTCGTATGCTATAGTCTAAAGGTTGACAGCAGTCAGAAACTCAAGCTTGTATATAGGAATTTGCCGGATATAGGTATATTTGCAGTTTTGCAAGTTGCAACGCTTGTGAGTTCGTTTTAAGTCTTCTATTTTTGTTTTTAGATGGATACTTATACTAAAAAACAATACAAGTTATTTCTTTCTACATTATTGTCGTTAATTTAAATTTAAATTTTATATTTTGAAATAAATTCTCTGTATTAATAAATAATAATAATAATCTTACTAAAATTATCTTAAATAATATACATTGTGCTTACAAAAACAACTACTTACACGGTAAATTGGCACATTGAACAAATCGTAAAATCGTATTTGCCATACCTGTTCTGTAGGCATGGCATTTACTAAATCATTCTTTGTTACAAGCAGACAGAAAACAATCTATTAATTAAAGACCTATAGCTTGTATAAAGATCAAATTATCAAACCATAGTTGCATTTATATTTTATACCTAATACGTTGTCATATTTTTACATTGATACTTCTTTGTTATAATTATTTTTATGCCCAACAATTTACAAGTGTGTGTGAAATGATCATTATTATAAGTATCAAAAGCTTACACAAAATGTGTGGCTAATAAAAATTAGTTTTGTAAAAACCACTACACATTTATGACATACATGCTTCTCTTATTATGTTTCTTAATGATATTTTGTTTTGAGTATGATGTAAAAAAAATTAACACCTTACCTATATGTGTTAATTATGTTTACAAATAGATACCCAGTGAAGTCAGTACAGAGCCGTGTTGAGGAGGGGAGGGGGCAAATGGGCAACTGCCCCCGGGTGCCGTAGTCTTGTAAAAGTAAGGGGGCGCCTTTATTTGCGCTTAATATGCTCCCTGTGACACCGTAAACCATTTTAGCTCCGGGGCTCTCAATTGTTTGACACGGCTCTAGAGCTTAGCTGAGTCAGTCTAATGGCTGGGACCGCTGGGTAATAGGTATGGTTGTTTGAATATTTTAGAAAATTATAATATAGATATTTCAACAATCATTTATTTGAATTATTTGAACATACATTTATTGGTTGAGGTTTATTTATTAAACATTCATAAATCATTACATTTTATATTGATTACCGTTATACTACTTATACTCATTATTCTATACAAAATTGACGTCTTCTAAGGCAAGAATAGTTATTTAGAACAACTAAATATTTTCAATTAAAATAAATGATATACTTTATGTCTTGACGATTTTAAATCAAAACATAAATTATATATTAAATAACATAAATACATTTTCGTCAGTAAAAAGGTAAAAATCATGATTTTATGATATGTCAACTGCTTATCATATTAAATGATAAAAAATAACATTCTACAGAAGTTTATGACTGCAATAGTGACGAATAGCCAATAATTGAGTTTAGTTAGGTACCAACTAAACAGGCACGTAACCAGACATTTTTCTATAACGTGTAAGAATGCAAAACACCGATTGTTTTTGTTTGATATATAGTGTTTTTTATTCTTGCATTTTGAAAAGAATTGTCAAATTTATTTAATTGTGTTACAATATATTCTTTTCATTTACACATGCTCTGTTGAGCTACAGATATTTTATTTCAGTTCAAATAATTAATTTATTCAGTTTTGTTTTACAGTATTTTCTTTTAACATACATATGCTCTGTCGAGCTACAGATATGGTTTTTATTTAAATGTGAGATGATAAATTACAATATTTAAAGACTCACGTGGACCGTGAAAGCAAGAGATAGAATACGTGTATGTTGTGTCCAATGGCAGCCTACTCTATCGGTGGTGCTGGATGACAACGATACAAAAATGTTCCCGGGCGGTGGCTTGACTCGTCCTCAGGTATAGGTACTGCACTCTCTTCGACTGGTTCCAACGTGGTTGATGATATTGATATGTATCACTTTGGTATCATGCGTTGGTTGTCGTGCGTACCGTCAATACGTCTGCGATACGTGAACGACGACAACAACAACGGTGATACGGCAACGGACTGATACGAAATCACAACGGCGCGCTCGTAGTGGCGGCGGCGATAACAATACGACACGCGGCGTGATAACGGCGCTCGGCGTAACGAAGATCGTAACACGCGATGGGACGGTAAGCGAGTCTACCGGTCGCGGCGGCGCGCTCGTCGTGGCGGCGGCGGCAACGGGGACAAACAACGACTACTGCAACTGGGTACCGGGGGCTTGAACAGTACGTTTTGAGGCGTACCACCACCGATACCTAGCGAGAGTGTTGGGGGAATCTTCCTCTCCGTCTACTGTTAAGTGTGAGTGGCTTGAACAGTACGTTTTGAGGCGTACCACCACTCACACTGCGAGTATAGGGAGAGGGCTTTGCGGGAGAAGGCGGTTTGAAGTTACACACTAAGAAAGGCGGTAAGTTGAAACGGCGTGCGATTTGATGTGTTGAAACTGTAAAACTGGTGAACTGAGTGAGTTGAGTGAACTGTGTGCTTCCATTGACCGTGCTGGCTCATATTTATGCCCTGTTTGCACTACGGGCGGTGTGTTGTATAGGTGAAAGTAGGTAGTTGCTTTCATTGTGTTACTGTATGTTGTAGACTCTCTACCCTATGGGCGGCTACATGTAATTAGGGTGTAATCTTCTGGGGAAGATGATGGTTGTAACAGTTTTACGGGCTGTCGTGGTGGTTTTCCATAAAGTCGCTAGAAGTGTTGACGGTCGGAAAACCTGCGTAACGGCGCGCACTCTATGCGGCGTCATTGCGTCATCGGTTTTCTGGATGTAATACGTGTTTTCTTCTTAATTCAACTTCTTTGGTACTTCTTTATATGCTTGGCGTGTTAAGAGCGTTGTATAGCTTTAACTTATATCGTTCAATGTGCTTGAATAAGTCGTTACAGTGACAAGTTGGTAGCATAAGTAGGTATTCCTATCGTTACGGCGGCGCGTGTTTAATAGTTTGGGTTCGCGTGTTGGCGCGTGTATAGATGGCGACACATATTCCGTTATATTTAATTATAATAGCAATTCTGCATCGTTACATTGTCCCCTTTTACATTTATTTTTTTTTTTTTATTATATGTGTGAAAGAGAATTTAAAAAAAAAAAAAATTAATGTAAACTTTGTATGCTACACATGGATGTCTTTTCCACTGTAGGTCGGTATGCGCTATAGATCCGGAGGATCTGTAAGTAAGTTTTTTTTTTACTCATGTTTTCTTATTTTACCTATGTTCGCTATCCATTTCATTTTTTTCTTGGCACGATTGCTAAGTGGTTTTTCTTCTGGATCAGCGGTAATTTCTTCTTCAATGGCACTTTGTTCCGTGTCATTGATGTGTATCTCTAGTTCTGCATCCCTGTTATCGGTTTCGTCTTCAATGGTGATTGCAGTTGTTTGTGTGGTTGGTTGATTTTCTTTTAACACTAGTTTGACAGAGTCTGGTATGGTGAATGTTGGTTCGATGGAATATTGTGTAATTTGTGCTTGTTTTATGCGTAAACATCTGGCTTCTGCTTTTTTCTCTTCAATTGTCTTTTGTTTTTGTTGTATATCTAGACGTTGTAGTGTTTCATGTGTTTCGCGAGGTTTTCTAATGGATAGTAGTTGATTATCTTCATCTAAATAATCGTTATTAAACAATTCAATCATTAAATAATATAAATGATCATTTAGATGTTCGTTTGCCATGTTGTCGTCCATCTGGAAATATATAAAATTATGTTATGACAATTATGAGGACAAATGACAACATGGTCTTATTGGTGTTTTATTTATAGTCTTGCAGAGGTGTCTTCAGTACTGTTCTTCCCTGGATCTGGGGGCATGTACCGTTTGACATTCTTCATGCTGTGTGTTGATATGATGTTTTGATCATTGCATACTGTGATTGTGTTATTTTGGTTCACTGATTGTATGGTGTATGGTCCCTTGTACAAAAGGAAAAATTTGTGTATCTCTCGGTCTTCTGCGGACGATAGTTTATGTTCCTTTATTAACACTTGTTGTCCCTCTTCATATTTTGGGAATTTTTTATTTTTGTCCTTTTGTTGGTTGCGTTTTTCTGATTGGTGTTTTAACTTGGTTCTTACGATTTCGATTATTCCTTTGTGGTCAGGTAGAATGGTATTCTCTGGGTAGTGAATTTTCTTACTTATGCTAAGGTTTGGTTCAGTACCATGAAGAACCTGTGTTGGAGAAAAACCTGTGGAGTCGTGAGTAGCGTGGTTTATCCAATATTCGATGTTGGTGAGCCATCTTACCCAAGCAGTGTGTTTCTTGTGACAGTAGGTTCTCAA